AAATTACATTTTATTCACAAATAATTTGTTTTGAATTCATAAAAATTGTATTAAATAAACATCTTTGTGACATTGTTTTGGGGGGAAAAACTTGAGTTCATGTGAATGATGTTTTGGTGTATCCTGATCGCACAGACTTGGTCACGTGTGATAAAGTCCAGATGTTTATATGATTTCTATAAAAAGGTGAGCGAGGCTGTTGGCAGAGCCAGCGTTGTTCCTTGGACAAAGGTAGGAGAAAAGCCGTTTTTAATTTGCCTGTCTCGGACAACCAGAAACCGCTTATGTCGAGCCCCGATTACTAATAATGCTAATTTATAAGATGAGCTCCTAAAGTGCCACATTTCCTAATGCATTACAGCATTTTGATAACATCTGACAACTGTTAAGATCTGGCCTTCCACTCAAAAGCTCATAAATGCATCTGGAACTTCTCAGGAAATCTTGTTAATTTTAATGATAAAAAAAGAGTGAAAAGCTTTTTGGACATTCAGCTTAGAGATATTTTTTATTGCAAGACACAAACAATTTCCACAAATCCTAGTTTATACACAACAAATAGAAAGAACTTTTCATTTACACACACAGTCTGGCAAACACACTATCATCCAGTCTCATCTAAGAGGCATTTTCATGGAAGCTCTTCTCAGTTTCCTGTCTGAGAACAAAAAAAAAAAAAAAAAAAAAAAAAAAAAAAAAGGAAAAAGAAGAAGCTGTACTACAATGAAAACCAGAGCAGAAAAGCGTCTGCTTTGAGTTACATGCAGCTGAAACATTTACTTAAACAAGAATAGATAAAAATCTGACTATGAGCCTTTTATTTTTTATTTTTACCTAGAACACGTCTTGTGGAGTTTGGATGATGTTCAGTTGAATTGTCACCAAGTTGGCAACCTTCTGATGTCGGGTTAAAAATGTGGGAGACCAGCTGAACACTTTCCATGATTAAACGGGCTGAGAGTGCGCATGCTGGCTCCTGCTGGAGTCCGTCCCGCTCAAAGTTGCAGCAGTGCCAATGGCGGCGAGGACAATTGGAGAGGTGAGTCGAGCGGATTGGCCCCTTCAAACGTATCGCTGCTCGGTGGTGGTGGGGGGGGGGGCGGGTCCCAGGGTGAGCGGGAACAGATGGAGAGGATGGAGGAGGAGTGATGGGGTCAAGCAGGGGCCACCTGGCTGGAGGAGACGGATGAAGTCTGGGTTTTGGAGACAGTGGCGCTGGTCTCGTCGTCTCCAAATGGGTTCTTTCCGCAGCACACTGTGGTGATCATGCAGTTTCTGAACTGCAGACCACAAAGGAGAGAAATGCACAGAATCAGTCAGATTAGAAGCGTATCCTGCTGACACATTAATCCAAAAACACAGTTTTTATTTATGATTCTATAAAGATTGAGGCAAGTAAAAGTAGAGCACAAGGACTGAGTCTACCCAGGCTAGATGATTATAAACAACAATGGATACAGAAAATAGCAGAAGCGTGGTTTAGCTACTGAAACACCTCATTAAGGTAGAATGTAAGTTAGGTTCACTTCACTTCAGCTCATAAAATTAATCTGAAAGAAGTCACATGGTGAAGAAACCGTTAATAATGCACATTTATGGACATTTCAGCCTTTCTAACTCTAGTTTTCCTGTTTTTACCACCATGAGCTATTAAACAACTTATATGACAAGTTCAGAGGGGTAAGCCTGGAGGACTGCCAACAACACAAACGTGACAAGAGGTACAAAAACTGGGAACCACTAATATATTTTTAAACAAGATTTTGGCTTTTATAAGCTCCATCTTTTTCAAGTTAAAATGTTATAATGAGTATCATCAGTCAGTGAAACTCATAATTCTTGTTACTAAACGCTAAAAAATACAAAAGAAAATGCAACACACCACCACGCTGAAGTTAAGAGCCCAGTTTATGGCTCACATTGTTATATTACATAAAATCATGCTGAAACTCAAAACCACATTTTATTTCTCAACACACCTGTCTGTTCAGCAGAATGTAGATGACTGGATTGTACAGAGCGGCGCTCTTGGCGAAGAAGGCCGGAGCCGTCATAAACACGGGTCCAAACTCCGTTCCCTGGTTGGCAAAGATGTACCAAGCCACGGAGGCGTAGGGCACCCAGCACACCAGGAAGGAGATCACCATCACCACGACCATGCGAGTCACTTCTCTCTCTGCCCTCTGGGTGGTTTCAGACTCCTGCTGCAGAGCTGCGGCCTGAACACACACAGTGATCCACATCTGAACTAAGAATAATATAAACGTGCTATGCATCGTCATCAATGCATGCAGTTTTTTGGATAAAACATATCCACTGGTTCATAACAAACTTTGCTAACAGACGAACAACCATGCACGTACAAGAGATAGGCCAAAGTGCCATTTTGTGCAACTAAACTGAACACAGTCAGCAACAATGATTCTGCTGTTAATTAGATCCGACTGACGATCTCGTTTCTTTAAACTGACCTTGTTCATTAATGAAACTGATGTCTCCCTACATAAACAGATGGACGTCATGATTTGTAAAATCTTGTAAGACCTCATTTTGTAATAACAACGCATTCTGTAATAATGTAATAAAATCAGGCTTCAAAATATAATAAACTCACACTAAACCTGCATCACGCAATAACTGACGCAAAATTTAATAAAAGTCTTCAACGCTTTTTGTAATATTCACAGCTGCATTATGTAATAACGTTTTGTGGCAATTGTTGCTGAACGTGGTGGTGTAACAATCTGGTGCATTATGTAATAAACAATTCAAAACCAGTATTTCTGTTTTTTGTCTTGTCAAAAACGTAATTTGCAGCCTCATCTACAATTCATGTTTCAATACAGCCATGTTAAGTTGTGAGGATTGTCTATAATTTACTTGGATTTTATGTCATTTTGCAAATATAGGGATGTATAGAGCAATCTCACGGATTTTTTTCATGTTTTATGGAATCTTTCAAAAGCCTAGTTTCTAATTTATTCAACATGTCAGGGCCTGTATGAAGGTTAAAAACAATTAATAACAGCAAATATTCACTTCCAGCCCACTGTATTGCTGGAAACAAGTTCTTCCACCCTCATTTACTTCTATTGCTACAGCCGGCAGTTTGCCTGCACCCCGCCCCCCTCCCCTCCATAGCTGATGGTCCACCTGCAGTACCCCACCATCCCCGTGTGTGGTTAATACAGATTATTTTTACGAAAATTAAATATTTTTAAGGCTCATTATACAGGTAAACATCTGAAGGGGTTGACATGTATGTACAACTATTAGATATATTTTGAGAGTTGTCTACAAAGTGGAATAATTTCTTTAACAGGGATCAGGACAGTAAATCTGAAAATGCAAATAAATAATGAGAAGTTCTGTGTTTATTGACAAAAGTTATGAAGATTTAATTATGTAGTATTTGCAACATGACACTTATTACAAGTATATTGATTAGGATGAACAAAAATACTGGTTTTTAATTGTTTATTATATAATGCACCAGATTATTACACCACCAGATTCGGTAATAATTGCAGCAAAATGTAATAATGTTATTACATAATGCGGCTGAGAGTATTACAAAATGCGTTGAAGACTTTTATTACATTTTGTGTCAATTATTACATAATGCAGTTTTAGTGTGAGTTTATTACATTTTGAAGCCTGATTTTATTACATTATTACATAATGCGTTGTTATTACAACATGAGGTCTTACAAAGCTGAATAAAATATTTGGGCCTTTAGCTGCTAATTGTCTCCTTGTGTTTATCTTTTACTGCGTTCACTTGCAGTTTGGTTCTGAACAACTTATGGGCAGAGTATTGTTTGTTTTTGCTAAAACAAGGAAAGTAGAAAGAATGAACCTAAACTTTAAAGATTTTCCGAGTAAACAAAATAAATAAATAAATAAAAATAAAAAACATGCAAAAAGTCTTTATAAAGTTTGAGGAGCTGAGATCAAAAATTCAAAGTTCAAACCTTCAATGGTCGATTAGGCCACATTTTCACTGTTGACATTTGCCAATCCATTATTAATGCTGTTTTGCTTTTATTATCAAGGGCATAAGGATGACACAGTGAGAGAGCTCACTGCCCTTTAGCTCGAGGATCTTAGTATCAGCTGCCATGTTGGCAATGAGCTGCCCTCCTGAAGTGTCCTTGAGCCACTAAATCCCTCACATCTCTAGAGTCCATGACGCCCTAACCTTCTGGAGACAGAGTGGAAAGAAGGATTTCTCCACAGTGATGAACAATATGATTCTTACCTTTTTTAAAATATATTTATAGTGTGCATTTGTGTGTAAATGTGTGTTCTTACCGCTCGCACAGTGCAGAGCAGGCGACTGTAGCAGAAGAAAATGATGAAGAGGGGGATGCAGAAGTGAAGGACAAACATATAGATGATGAATGAGGTGTTGTGGATCTCAGGTTTGGGAGTGTAGTAGTCGATCCCACAGGAGCACTGCATTCCCTCTGGGATGTACCTGCAAACAATTTCCATCAACTCAAGTTGTGATATTCAATGCTACGTGTCTGTTTTATGCACAAGAGGATTAGGACGTTCCTGTCATTTTAAAGTCGGGAAAAATGTAAAAGAGACATTAGAGCGTTCAGTAGTGATGTGCAGATCGATACTGAAATATCGATACTACAGACACCTGAACTTTATGTTCTGGAATCGATACTAAAATCAAAATATCGATACTATGATACTTTCGCTATTTCACATAATTATATCATTAACAGGAAAATAGTAGAAAATAACTAAACTACCGTATTTATTCATGTATAATACGATCTCGAGTATAATATGATCATCATTTTTGGATCTTACAAAGCATAAAAATCTAATTATCAATAACCCGTGTATAATACTTTCCCTCCACTTTATGGCTGATTTTTAGGGTTAAATTTCTAGTATCACATGGATAAACACAGTAATCATATGTGGTTGGAGGGAACTACTTTTTCTTCTGCTTGAGTAATGCATAAGCACAGTAGCACGTGTTCAGTCAGTCACTCAGTCTGTAGATGTATGGCAGGTCATTTTAACATAAAATCTGCTTTGTCTCAGTGACTGTAATTACATTCTAGTCGAGGGGTTCCTAAACTTTTTCATGCCATGGACCCACAAATAGCATTAGCTCTGGCGAGGAACCTTATTGCAAACCCACAAACAATGCTACAAAATATACAAAGTAACAACTTTTAGAATATATATTTTTTACTTTTAGTCACTATTCAACAATTATTATATTTCTTTAGAATAGAAATTTAAAATTGTGCTAAACAAATGTAGGGTTAGAAAGACTTTTAAATTAGATAAATTACTATGTCGTTCTATTTATAAAGCCGTTATTTGAAAAACACCAATTTTTAAGATTTACCAGACACATTATGTGTGTTATCACAAAGTATCAGTATCGGATCACTATCAAGTATCAGTATCGGATCACTATCGCCGATACCAGACACATTTTACTTGGTATCAGTATCGGAAAGAAATTTGGCAGTATCGAACATCACTAGCGTTCAGTACCGGGACCACCCCAACAGAGGCGGGGCAGCGCAGGTCAGGGCCATGGCCCAGGAGAACGCCAGGCCAGCGATGGCGTGTTTTTCCTCAAAGCGGAAGTTGCTTATTGGCTTACAGACCACGACATAGCGCTCAATGGCCAGAACCACCAGAGACCAGAGGGCAATCTCTCCTGAGACAGAAAACAATGTACATTTCACAAATACGACAATGTGCTTCACATGGAGCAGACAAATCAACTGAAACAGTGTAAAACAACAAAAACGTAACATTTATGCACGACATCGGTTTCTTACCTCCTAATGTGGCAAAGAACCCTTCGATGCTGCAGCCGGTGACGCCTAAGCTGAAGTACCCGTGCAGGGCCGTGTACAGGGTGACCGTGAAGCCTCCGACTATCATAAAGAGGTCGGCCACGGCCAGGTTGAGCAGCACGTAGTTCAGAGGGGTTCTCAGCTTCTTGTGCTTGACGGTGACATGGAGGGTGAGGAAGTTAACGGGGAAGGCGGTGATGATGAGGAACAGCATGTACGCAGCCAGAAGAGAGTACTTCCATGGCTCAGCCAGGTAGTACTGAGGGTGCTCGAAGGGGCTTAGCACCAACCCTGTCCTATTAGACATGGGGACGTAAAAGTTGGGCCCTTCAGTGCCATTCATCGCGACGGCTGTCTGTCTTTTTGCTCTTTCTCTAAGATCTGAACAAAACGCTCTGTGTCTGTCAGAGTAAAGCCCGGTTAAAGGGAGTCTTGTGGTGCAGCTGAGGTGGAACTGAGAAGGAAAATGTAGATGGAAGGCTGGATCCCATGGAAGTAAGATGTGCTCTGCGGCCCCCCGAGGAGTAGCAGCACCTTTTAATAGTCGGGCTGGATTAGGGACGAGGGGGATGAAGCCAAGTGTTAGCAGAGATGGAATTAAGACGCAGTCCGAGAGTGCTTGTGCACATTAACAAACACGCGTGCACACAAAGCCTTTACAGGAGAAAAAAAAGGCTCAGAAAAAAAGAACAGGATATAAAAAAAGAGTAAAGCATTTTTGAAGTGGGAAGTTATAACTGCGGCTAAATAAACCCATTAATTACAGTCATGTGCATCAGTGCTGCATTAGAATAAGATGAGAGGAGAGAGTGGGAGGTTTGTGACTTCAACTGCTCAGAGTGGACAGACTTTAAACGAAATTTCCGGAGCAATCCAACTTATTTGCATCTGTAAAAGCTTAATCCCTAACCACCGCCGAGCACGGCGCTCCACTTATAGCCCTGAGTGTAATCAGAATCAGTGGGTTATACTGCTCATAACAGGCACTCTCCCTCCAGCTCTTCTGCAAACATAAATCTAAAGGTCCACGCCGAAAGAGAAAGAATAACAATCACATTTTCTGTAAGAGGAATAAAAACTGCAATAACAACTCTTTAACAATGGATACAGGAAAAATGAACTACAGCATGAAACATGGCAACTGCACAGTTCTTATTGCAATCATTTAATATAATTTGTTACATCAAAATAGTTGTCTTTTTCTAAAGCGTTCTTTTATTTTTAAAGCAATACACAAATTTATAAAGTATTCACAGCCCAAGGCAACACGTTCCCCTTTAATCCAATCGGATTGATCCAAACACTACAGGTATTACTTCAGCTTTCCATCCTTGGATAACAAACAGCTGCTCATGAGAACCTAAAAAACAGTTTAATGCTGTAATGTTCCCACAGCATAGAACAATTATAACTAAGGTATAAATACAGTAACAGAGTACCAAAAATAGCTGCTGAGTAAAAAGACAAAATATTAGCTTCAGGGTATGAAAACAAAGCGTTCTCCAGTGTAAAGTGGCTCAGTTTGGTTCGTCGATGGGTCTGCGGCAGTAAGGACAGCAGTTGTGCTGAAGCACCAGGAGCTCATAGTCCTCACTATGAAACATCTACACGGGGAAACAGAAAGGAAGAGCATTACAATGAACAAATGCACACAAAGATACAACCAGGAAGTGAGCAGGAACAAGCTCGTCGTCCATTAGGGTCGTATCAACAGTGAATGCTTTACCTTGAAGCAGCTGGGGCACATGGTGATGCTGACATCCGGCAGCAGCGAGCGGAAGTATTCCCATTTGAGCGGCCTGGGCCAGCGTTTGATCAGGACGTCCCGTCTGCTCATGGAGCGCAGAGCCGAGCGACTCACCTTGACTGGGACAAAGGTGGAGCCCCCTTGCTGTTTGGACACACAGATGAACACAAACACACCCACTCTTTTCTCACCCGCTCCAGCTGGTTTGCCCAGCTGGCAGAATATTAATCACCTCGTCTATTTTGTCCTTTCTTTCCTTACCTCAAAGCTCATGTTGGCTGTAAATGGATCCCCATCCGCACTATCAAAACTATCTTCTATCTTCAAAGCCTGCGTTTCTGTTCCATATTAATTAAGGACAAACACCAGTTTTTTGTTTCATTATCACACTATTTAATTTTAATGTGTTTCTGCAAAACGAGAATGAGCCTGATAATATGACCTCTGAGAGACTATCCTAGGAGACAATGCATTTAAAAGCAGTTGTGCCTGTCAGTCACATTGCAGCCCTGGAAGAACACAACACACCTCAGTGCCCTTGAGTGTCGGCCGGGTAATGCAGGTTAATCCCTGCACCAGGGCCGTGGCTACAGCTCTTTAAGAGCTGGTGTCATTAGGATGAGACAGGAGAGCCTTGCTAACCCTATTAGCTCGAGAGCTAAGATGACTTATTTCTGACAGCTTACCCACAAACACAAAATCAAGGCCAGTGCAGACTAAACAGCTACTTAGAGCTGTCACAAGACAGAGGAGAGTCTCACGCTTCGATGAGAGGAGATGTATGGTTTGTAAGTGAGGACTTAATCATTTATATACATCAGATGAACAACCTGTTGAGCTCGCACATGTTTAGCTGCCCAAGATCAAAGGATACCTCCGCTTTCAACAACGTGCTCCAGTGCGTTCCTCTGAACGGAGTGAGGAACCTCCAGGTCAATGAGTGACAGAGCTTCTTCATCGTTGATACCCTCCTCCAGGTAAAACTGCACCAGGGGCAGCACCTCTGTTTGACAAAAACCACACCTCCATAAATAAAGCGCCTGAGTTTCCAACATCACTGTTGTAACAATCTGAGTGAAGAAAGACTAAAGTTACAGTTTGGATGTATGAACGCTGTGGGACAAATAAAGAGAGCTAAAAAATGTTCAATCAGTGATTCTCAGGATCGCCACGGTTACCACACAATGTGTCTCTCACTCCATGAGAGCACTCTTAATGAAACAAGCAGAAAGAAATGCAGAGCAGAAACTTGGTCTCAGACAAATTGTAACTGTAAGAACAATTTTAATGTTTTATTTTATCCTGAACAGTAACCGGCTGAAGTGTCTGTACACACACACGCACACACACACACACACACACACACACACACACACACACACACACACACACNCACACACACACACACACACACACACACACACACACACACTTGTTTTTATATCCTTGTGGGGCCCGTCCATTGACTTCCATTCATTTTTTGATAATTTTATATCCTAACCCTGACCACAAACCCTAAGGCTAACCTCACAGGTACCTACCTGACCCTAAAACTAACCTAAACTAACCATAAAGAACAGTGGGTCCTCATCAGGCTGTGTGAACCAGAAAAATGGTCAAAAAGCATCCCCACCAGGTAGCAAATACATGTAAACACCACACACACTTAAAATGTTCATTCTCTAAGGTGTTTGTTGTAGGAGACGTGACAAAATATAAGACCCTTTACTTCCTGTTTTGAAGAGAAAACTTTGAACTCAGATACATTAAAAGTTAATGAGAGTTTGGGTGTGGGGCTTTTTGCATTCTGGTAGGATTTGAGTCCCACAGTAGAAAGAAACACACAGGGTAAAAGAAGATGAAATTGCTAAATTTATGCATTAACTCTATAATACGTCTTTGTGAGAAATACTTATGAATAATGGAAAGCTCTGACAGCTCAAATATTAGTATGTAATATCACAACTAAAAGTTGAACATTCGGTAGTGAAAGCTTTTAAAAAAAATCATTCAATTTAAAATGCAATTGTGTAAAAATGATAAAATATACTAAAAAGTAGGGTTGGGTGATATGGCTGAAAAATGTGTCACAGTATAAGTGTTTCGTATCAGCTTATATCAATAATTATTGATTAGTTTTTTGTTTTGTTTTGTCTGTCTGAAATAAGGACCAGGAAAAAAAAAGGTTGATTAATCCTGTCAAACAACACAAGAAGTGACAACCTTTCCTCTTTTATCCACAATTTCCTCTTGAGCCACTGAACTCTTTTTTCACTCCACGTCGTTCTTTTTTGATTTTGAAGCAGCTCTGAGGCGAAACATGAAACTGCTGCTTGTTACCCAACAGGTTGTTGCTAGTTTACCAAAGAGTGAGTTTGATGCCACCAACCTTAGCTGGGCTGTGAGAGGTTGAGCAGTTAAACCCTTTCCTCTGCCTACATCCCCCAGAATGCTGTGCAGTGCTGATCGGAGTTCTACAGAATTATCAACATTCTATTGAAAGTATTTTCTACTGGTATTGATCATGTGTCTATAGCGATGTGTTATTGTTATTGTTTTATCACCCAGCCCTACTAAAAGCCAGCTCTGTCAAATAAAGTCAAACTTTCTGTGACTCATTTAAACTTTTTTGATGTTTCTATTGTTTAACATGCCTGAGCCATAGAGCTCTAAAGAGGGATGAGTTTCCTCACTTGTTTTTGTCTAATCCATACAATGTACTGCTACAAAAAAAGGTCATAATACAGTATTCCCAACTGAGCCACACAATTTGTTGTGTTTTTCCAAAACTGTAGGAGAACTAAACTAAACATTGTGATGGAAACATAACAGACAAACAGCAATAACAACGCTTCAGTCTTATCTATGTGGCCCCTAATTAAAACAAACAGAGGTTTCCTCAAGCTAATACTCACCATATGATGAGGCTGAGTAAATGAAGGGCTGCCTGCAGTTGATGCACACGCTCCCTCGGTTGTTTAGAAGGGGGTTGTTGGTGGAGCATCGATAGCACATCATGCCCTCAATAAGGTCCTGCAGAAAACACGAGGGGTTTCACCTAAAGAACACAACATTTCAGGGCAAAAACAAGTCTGCAACACACCTCGTTGTCATGGAAGGGCTTGGAGTGAATGGTGAGGCTGCCCAGTTCCATGGACTTCAGGAGGGGTGAGGGAACGTGCAGCTCCCGCAGCTTCTCATAGGAATGCCTGGCGAGCTTATAAGCGCCCAGTTTTCGACTCTGCTTGGCCAGCGCGTACAAGGTGTTACTAATGACAAAGTTAAGGTTCAATTAACTCTCCTGAGACACTTTACCCGCAGCGCCAGTGTCTGAGTTCCTCTGCATTCGACTCAATAAATCTGTTACATTTTTATAATTATGCAGAAACAGACAGTCAGAGCGGCTCGGTGAGTGGTAACGCACAGGTCAACGAGCCGCAGCTGCAGCAGCTCTTTATTGGTGCTTTTCAATCACTTAAAGCTCAACACCATTCCTCTCCACTCTGCTGCTCTCCAGCTCCTCCTACACTCCTAACTCAAACTCTTGACAACTCCACGTCCTCCTGTTGTGCAGCTCGTTTTGCTTGGGTGGGTTATTTGTGACACTGCATTTAAACTTGTTCAACAGGCGGCCAACACGGTCCCCGCTACGTCCATAAATCTGACTTCAAAAGGAGTTGGAACAGTCCAGCTCGGCCACAGTTGGGCTCCAGCTGCTGAGGACGATTTCCTTTTCCAAGGCTGGGCTTTCCTTCCTCATACCAGCATCCACTGGTGTGAGAGTCTGTCTGTGTCACTGCGAGTGTTGTTGGCTGCGTCTGTTTGTTCGAATTAAAACTCTTTGTTCAACGCGTGTGTACGCACAGAGTTCAGTAATCAAAGCGCTTGTTTAGACAACCAAAAGACATGCCTCTCGCTGGCATCGCCTCCCCACAATCATCATTCATTTTCCCGCGCTCAGCAGCAGTATAGTTTCCGCTGTGGCGCCAACAGTTCCACTTTCCCCCCGCTTTTATCTTTTCCTTCACTTTATCATCCCTGCCTCTGCCAGGCTCTGTGTCAGAGTGATGCTGTACCGTGCAGAGTTTCACAAAGAGCAGAAGTCCCGTACTTGCTTTGTATATGACGCCACTTCCTCAAACGTGAAGGATACACTTTAGAAATGCCTGGTGGTATGTCCTTGGTAAGGTTGTTCAGTAAAAATCTGCATATGTTGAAGAGCGTCTCTGGCATGTAGGAGCTGAAAGGCTCATCCTAAAGATAAAAAAATGACAGATGGAGGTGGAAGGGATTAAAAATAACCTAAATATCTGATAACAGTTTTTAAAAGCTCCATTTCTCCTGCTCTCGCCCACCCCCATTCTTTTCCTGTAATCTTTTAACCTCTTCCCACAGCAACGCAACCATTCGCAGCGCCTTATCCCTGCTCGCAGTTGGCCTGAGAGGAAAAAGACAAATTTTCTAAAGCATTCACTAAAAGCATTTCATCCCCAAAAGCTGATAGCTTAAATGTATAGCTGCTGTCGGGGAGAGTTAAAGTGATATATAGAGGTTTCCTGCTCTGGTCTGGATCACTGCGATGCCTCTGTGTTGTGAGGGTGTGACCAGAGCAGAGCACTGAAACAACAAACAGGGAGCGCTGACACAGGCCAGGTCACCCTCGTAGGAGGAGCACGGAGTAGCTGTGGGGGGAGAGGAGAGAGAGGACCACAGATGAGGCTGTCATCTCGTTCTGTCAAGCAGCTGGTTGCCACGGCGACAGAGGTCAGGGGGGGTTTCAGGAGTCTAACAATAGTGCTCCTTAGAGCTGATATTTTCCTTTAGTGAACTGTAACCTCAACTTAATGCCCTCTATTCTGCCTTTTGTTCGTTTTGCCTGACACCCTCTGTGCTTATCTTAATTCCTCCTTAAACCTGACTCATTTTGTGGATTGACATAATCTTCCAGAGCCTTGTGTCTGTGTATGTGGAAATTATGAGATGTGTACCTGTATATTTAAACAATTTTTCTTTCTTTTTCTTTTTTTCCAAATGAAACCACATGCCAATCTAACAGGCAGGCAAACGGCCTCACTGTGGTTCCCAAGCCCCCCCTCCCCTGTTTTCATCTCCTCTGGTTATGGAAGATTAATGAGAGATTAAGGCCGACAAAGTAAAACGTTCTCACCGTGTAGCGCTGAATGGAGCGATAGACGTAGTAAAGCTCCGCAAGACGTTGGAAATGCTCAAACTTCTTCAGCATTTCATCCCTTTGATCTTCACTTTCTGGTTCAGACAAACAAACGGAAAAGAAAGAAAAAGGGCAAAAAGAAATCAAAAAAGCAAGTTCTGCTCCATCTGTCTGTGAAAACATTAGGAAAATAGAGAACTGCAGCAGATCTGCTTTAGCTGCATCCGGAAATGTTTTAAAGTCCTGCTCTGTAAAACATCTTTAGCTCGCACAGCTTTTTCTGAGAAAGGAGACAAAGTGGACTCATTTATCTGAAATTTACTGCAAATGGTTACTTTTTAAAGAAAACTGTCAAATAGTTCAGCAACAGTGTTTTTCTGTGTTTTTATTTGTATTGTTCAATTAACCTAATTGCATAATTCCCTAATATATAT